CCTCTCTCTCTCTCTCTCTCTCTCTCTCTCTCTCTCTCTCTCTCTCTCTCTTTTCTAAAGTGTGGAAAACGGGAATGAATCTTTCCGCTGCCGCGGGAAGATGCAGTCCCTTTTTCATCTCTCTCTCTCTCTCTCCCTCCCTCCCTCCCTCCCTCCCTCCCTCCCGTCCGTCTTTTTCTTTTTGCCCGTTCTTTTTTTTTTTTTTTTTTTTTTTTTGTGGAAGAACTCAAATTCCAATTATAAACCGAGGATGAGGCCGGGAATCCCTCAACAAACAACCTGGAGAGGGGGCTGGGGCCATTACCCAGCGTAGGCTTAAACTGGAAACCGGGTCCAGCGTTTCATCCACTCCCATTCCTAAGAGATCTTTCAAAAGTCCCATTCTTTTCTGTGTTTTCTTTGTTTTTTTATTTCATTTTTTTTTTCCAGTTTTCGTGCGAAATACCATTTGTGTCATTGTGACAGTACCGGGGCCCGACCTTCAAGCAACGACCGGGCCTTCCTTGGCCGACCCCCCTAAGGCTGCAGCGTGTATACGGGAACGCCCGCGGCCGATAGCTGGGCCAGGTATTGAGGAGGAGGGGAACCAATATCTCCTTACTTTTTCGGGTAATACATGTAAAATAAATACTGACTGTGGGATCACGAGGGCTGCACGGCAGGATTTGGCTCACTCAACTGCCACACAAACTCTTTTCTATCCNAAAATAAATACTGACTGTGGGATCACGAGGGCTGCACGGCAGGATTTGGCTCACTCAACTGCCACACAAACTCTTTTCTATCCTATCCAGTTGCTAGTGGGACCATGGTTCAGGGGTCTAGTCCCACCTACAGCGTTGAGTTTTCTCAACGCTGAGCTTTCTATCACATGTGGCATGTCGGGACAGAGCTCTGCCGTTGATGTATTGCGAATCTAACGGTACCAAAATACAGGAGAATAACCTATTAGATTTAGTCATTTTGTAGAATTTTTCTTTGACGTGAAATTCGTTTTGTAGTATGCGTTGGCCCTTTTGGTTTGGGCGGGAATGCATTGGCCCTTTTAGTTTGGGCGGGAAGCCATTTTCCATTGAGAAAACTACCCTACCGAGGGTAGGGTACATTTCTCAACTGCAGTGCCTTTCCTTTTTCTGGTTTTTTTGGACCTCATTGCATCCTGAAACGGAGGAACTCTGACAGCTGTGTTTCGCTGTCTGGCATCGAACTCGTTTCCTTCTTTGGGCAATGAATGCATTTGGCCATCCACGTCGTCCCTGTTCATTTTACAAATGGTGACCTCCAGTCCCCCCACCACGGGGAGTATCCCTTTTTCACAGAGACGTTCACTCCGACTGTTCCAGACATGTTTCATTTCTCCGAGTTACGTTATAAAAAATAAGGAGAAAAGTTATTTCTAACATTTTTTTCAGTTTTTTTATTTCTTGTTTCGAATTTATTAATGTCGAAATGACGTCACACCGTTGAGTTTTCTCAACTCAACAACGGTAGGTCGGACCAGACCTCAGGTGCCAGTGGTGACTGCTTTTATCAGCGTCACTATCACTGGCGGGGCTCTTTGTCCCAAAAAAAAAAAAAAAAAAAAAAAAGGATTTGGCCCGCCGGTTGGAAATGCACTAAATTGGCGCGGTGAATATTTCATGGTCAAAATGATTTTTTGTTTTTGTTTTAATATTTTTCCTTGAAACATCACGACCTAACCTATGGACCCTCAAATTTTTCGACATTTTGATGATATCTTCTGAGCACAAAAAATCGACAAAGTTGCCTATTGCAAATGGCGGGATTTGAACCGCCGGTTGGAAATGCAGCAAATCGACGCAGCGAATATTTCATGGTCAAAAAAATTTTATTATTTTTTTGTAATATTTTTCCCTGAAAGATCAGGACCTAACCTACGGACCCTCAAATTTGCAGACATTTTGATAATTCTTCTGAGCACAAAAAATCGGTAAAGTTGCCGCTTGCAAATGGCGGGATTGGACCCGCCGGTGACGTACGGTCGCCGTCCCTCCGTACAGGCCAGCTACGGTTCAGACACACCTGTCAGCTGCCTGACTGCTGCACTCCATCCCACTCCCTTCCTCAATCTCATGTTTGACCTGTTTCTTCCCCTTCACGTCTAGTTCCCCTCCTGCGAGTGTTGGGAGAACTGTGGTCTTCCACTGCTGTAACCAATCGTCCTTGATCTCGGTCATTAGCATAGCAGCATGCATGGTGACATCTTTCTTCAAAGCGGCTTTCAAATCGGCTTCCTGCTTGGCCTTCTCTTTTTTCTTACGCTTCTTCGCTTCTCGCCGTGCTTCTTCCTGCGCCAGACGTGCTTCCTCCTCTTCAACTCTTAATCTTTCTGCTTCCCTGGCGCGCTCCTTCTCAATCTTCCGCCGGGCCTTCTCCTCCTTCTTGGCCCGGACCTGATCAAAATATTCCTTCATCGTCGTCATACCCTTCGCTAGGTCAGCCACTTGATCTTCTAAGCCAGATCCCCTCCTTGGGGAAGGCTTTCTTCGTCGAGGTTCATATCTCCTTGGAGAATGTGATCGCCTTGAATCGGTTGACGTAGACAGTCTGCTGGGATACTGCCTTCTGTCTCGATAGAACCATTGGTTTGCATAGTGGCCCAGCTCCTCACATTTAAAACACTTAACCGACTACCGGTAGGGTCGTCTATCTCTCTCGTCATCATGTCGTTCAGAGCCCGACATACTGCTCTGGTCGAACCAAATCTCCGCTAAACTCCCCGGTCAACTTGACGGCGCCCGTGCTCACATATAGCTCCACAACTTTCCTTGATAACGTAACTTTGTTAACAAAAGTAACCAAAGGAACGGTACAGGTAATGACGCTCACTTCAATCCGGTACACTTCCCCAGACAAGTTCACGCATGCGTTACAAGATTATGATGGTGGTTCACACACGGTAGTGACAAGCACACAATGTCGGCAAACACTCAGTCACCGTAGTGACATCTGACAAGTAAACGATGACAAACCACACAGGGTTACCTCAAAACATTCCAACACGCCCAAGAACCACCGCATTCCACGAACCACCCCGGGCTTCAGTTCCCGTCGTCACGGTCAACAGAAAAACCCGCGGGAACCCAAGAGGAGAATTACTGCTAATGTCTACACCTATATAGTCTCCCTTCCAAAAGCAATCGGGCAAGTACCCCTCGTCGGAGGTGGACTGTCCGTCAGTCGAAAAAATAACACTAACAGATCCTTCGATATTTGAAGGATCGGCCTCAAGCTGACAAACAAACGAAAGGACAACGGTTCAAACCCGGTAGGTCCGACCGACCCACTCCAAACACCTATCGACCGAGCC